TTCCTGCCGTGCAGTTTGTTGGAGAGTGAGAGATGGATTGGATCCTTGCAAAGAAATCATAACGATCAAACAACATGCTGGGAACTTGCCTGAGAGAAAACATTCGCTTGTTGCTAAGTTACAATTATGTCGAGGGGATATGCTTATCTGTATAAAAATCCTGTAGTTTTCTGAAGGACAAATTTAAATGTGTGGATAATAGGGAAGCAACACTCTGCCATTAAAGTCCCAACATAAAACTGTGGATGTCTGTTTCGAAGGGAAACGATGACACACTGCATAGCGATAGAGCCAAGCTATGCTGCACTTCACAGTAAGGTCAATGACAAAGCAATACATCAATGCTTAAACATGTGCTCAGGCTTTGTTCTCTACAGGTTAACTTTTAATGTCAGTAGAGAGCTGGTAGAATTCCACCTCATTATAAAGGGTTCAACAGTGAGTTTACACAGTGGGTTGCCTTCGGTTTTTTTTGACATTGTTTTCAATTGGGTTGCCTAGCGTGAAGAACAAGACACCTCCTGGAGGATGTCTTCAAGGGTTATATTGTCTCCTAAGTTATGCTACAGGTCACCAGTTGAAGTGTATTGTAAACTGCTTTGTATCAGCGTATATTGTGGTAGTTTAATGGCAGCTAAGACCAATTTATCTGTAGAAATCATTCGAAGAATTTCCTGATGGATAATTCTTTTTGATGTTGCAGTCTCTGCGTTTTTTAATGGATTGTTTTCTGCAAAATCTCAGATCAGGTATACATTAGATAATCTTAGCTACAAAGACACTTCTGTTTACTCCCATTTTGTGCACATGACCAGTAGCAGTGTCCGAGCTGTTACCACGGTAACTGCTGTTGCAACAGTGCTGCAGAGCTGCAAAAGCTGCAGTGTTGCACAGAACAAGCCAGACAGTTGTGCAAACTTGAACCAGACACGTTCCTGAGTTATGTGACAAAACTGATGCATGACTCTTCTCTCTCACAAGACAAAAACAGATGCATTTCATGAATGTCCTTTTAAGGAGAGAAAAGAAACAAACTTTTTAACCTAATTTCCAATCGCATGTCCAAGCCTAATTATACTGCATTGATTCAAGGTTTACACTTGTATTGCCTGTAAACAAGGCTAATTTCAGATACTTAGAACGTGCTACATATTATTTATTGGAGAAGATTTAGGAAATCCGTAAATGTGCAGGATGCCACATCAATCACTACTGTACCATAGACCATGCACCCAACTGATAATTCTACCACCCAGCCGAGAAGGTACAAGGAATATAATTAATGAAAGCTTCAGTATTCGTGTAAAATTGTTTCAAAATTCTGGAAACCACAATCTAGACCATAAAGTCAGAGAAATAGTATTATTCATGAGGTTACAATAGCTCAAATAATGCTGTTGTATTTCTCATGGTTAGATGTAAAAATGATGTATCTTTACAATAAAGCCTTGGACCAGTTGTGTCCAGAAAGCTTTAGAAAGTCTAGCCTAGGATCAATGACACCAACTGACTTTATCATCTCTGCATTTACTTGTTTGTCAATAATGAGCAATAAACTGTGGACATGCTAAATGTCAGCACTGGAAGAAAGAATCAGGCTGCAATTCGAAGTGTGTGTGTGTGTGTGTGTTTGTCTACATGCGTGTACGTGTGTGTGCATGTACATGTGTATGTACGCGCACGTGTCTGTGTTGTTCCAGTTTTATTTTGCATTTTTCCCATGCCTTTAGGTCCCTCCCTGCGCAAATCTCTGTACAAATAGCCCATGCCTAGGGCTGTGCCCATGCTCCACCTTCAGCAACTTTGAAGAGTTATCTCCCCTCCTATTGGGGAAATGCCCTGATTGCATCCTTAGAATGTTGGCCAAGATTAACAGGGCATTGATAATCTGTGCTCTGTGATATCACCAGCCTAATTGTATATCACTCTTAAAAAACACACTTGTGCAAATTGCTAAATCAGATTCATCAAATTATGTACAACAAAAGCAGGTCATTTAGACTCTTCACAGAATCATAGAGTCATACTGTGCAGAAAAGGCCCTTTGGCCCATCGAGTCTACACCGACATAACTACCACCCAAAGTGCACTAATCCTGTAAATTCTGCCAATTTCTTGCACTTGTCCCATATCCTTGAATGTTATGATATTTGAAGAACTTGTCTAAATATTTTTTAACAGATGTAAGCTTTCCAGCCTCCACTACCTTCCCAGGCAGTACATTCCAGATTCCTACCACCCGCTGAGTAAGAAAGCTTTTTCCCCAAATCCCCTTGACTCTCCGGCTCCTTACCCTAAAACTATGCTCTCTCATGATTGACCCCTCAACCAAGGGAAAAAGCTGCTCTTTATTCATCCTGTCTATACCCTTCATAATCTTATACACCTCAGTCATGTCCCCCCCTCAGTCTTCTCTGCTCTAAAGAAAACAATCCAAGCCTGTCTAGTATCTCCTTATACTCAATTTCTCCACCACACACAACATTCTGGTGAACCTCCTCTGTAACCCCTCTAGTGCTATCACATCCTTCCTGAAGTGAGGTGACCAGAACTGCACACTGTATTCCAGTTACGGCCTGACCAACACTCTGTACAACTCCAACATTACCTCCTTGCTCTTATTCTCTATGCCATGACTGATAAAAGCAAGTGTCCCAAATGCTTTCTTATCTGTCCTATTCACATGCTCTGCTAACTTCAGGGATCTGTAAATAATTATCCCAAGATCCCTCCGTTCCTGTAAGGTACGGTGGCATGGTGGCTCAGTGGTTAGCACTGCAGCCTCAGCGCCAGGGTTCCAGGTTCAATTCCACCCTCGGGTGACTGTCTGTGTGGAGTTTGCACATTCTCCCCGTGTCTGCGTGGGTTTCCTCTGGGTGCTCCGGTTTCCTGCCACATTCCAAAGATATGCAGGTTAGGTTGATTGGCCATGCTAAATTGCCCATGGTGAATGGGGATGTGTAGGTTAGGTGGATTAACTATGGCGGGGTTGCAGGGATAGGGTAGGGGGGTGAGTCTGGGTGGGATGCTCCTCAAAGAGTTGGTGTGGACTTGTTGGGCCAAATGGCCTGTTTCCACACTGTAGGGATTCTCTAGACTGTACCCAGTATCCTTCTCTTCATTGAATAGTCCCTCATCATGCTTCATCTTCTAAAGTGGCCTGTTATTTTAAAGAAAAATACAAATAATCTTGTACCTCTGCCTTTTTCTTCAGTTATTTGTCCAATTCCCTTTAGGCAGTTATTGCAAAACTTACAAAACAGAATAATCTGTTATTTTGGAACAAAGTAAAAAGGTTGCATCATATTGAATGTACTATTTGTTTGCAGAACCCAAACAGTTAAAGGGTGCTTCTGATAGCAGCCCACATTTTTCAAACGCTGAAGGTTGGTAGTTTATGATTTGTGCAATGAAACCAACACTCATTTAAAGAAATTTCTGATGAACCCTTTTCTGATGAAGGGTCTAGGCCCGAAACGTCAGCCTTTCTGCTCCTATGATGCTGCTTGGCCTGCTGTGTTCATCCAGCCCTGCACCTTGTTGTCTCGGATTCTCCAGCATCTGCAGTTCCTACTATCTCTCATTTAAAGAAAGGTTATTTTTCTAATGTGAAGTTATTTATTTTGAAAGGATTGTAAAGGCCTTTGTAGAGGTAGTTGAATTCATACCTCAAGGATGCCAAGGCACAATTTGGCCTTCAAAGGTGGTCTTCAAAGAACTAAAGAGATAATACATGGCCAGCTCCTTTAGACTGGACTGCAGTGATTCTGGAAGTCAGCTCACCATCACCTTCTCAAGGGCAGCTAAAGATGAACAACAAAAACTGGACCAGCTCACATTGCCCACATCCCATGAGTGAATAAAGAAAAATAAATAATGCGATGTGTCAACACATCCCTCTCAAAATGCAATCAACATATCCTCTTGTTTAAATGTGCCCTTTATGTGCTCTTCCCAAATATTTCTGTACCCACAATGGTCATGTTTTAATTAGAGGAGATGAGAACAAATTATTAAGCTACTTTATTTTTCAAATGACAAGGGATTACATAGAGCAATTTATGATTAGATCCCTGTAGTTGGATCAGTGCAAGTTGTCAATGCAATGTCATGCTTCTTCACATCAAGTTTTATTTAAACTAAATAGTTTCTAAGTATCGTTCTGCATTCCAACCTTCTGTGTCTGACTATTTACCTGGTGACTAAAAACCTGAGTGCCAGTATATTTCTACTTCTAATCTTAATCATCTTTTTACAAATTTGTCCTAAATCAAAGAACTCTTACCAAGTGTGTGGGAGCTCTGATTTCCCAACACAATTGGTGTGAGGTTAACAAATGCTTCCCATCGTTAGAGAACAAACTCAACCTTAGTTCATTAACATTTTAATCACTTTAGATCAATGTGTCCTCTCTTCAAAATTGTACAAGTGAAATTTATTTGAAAACATAACCTTCAAATGTAACTCAATTTCAAAATAATTTCCACAGAGAAACAAAAAGTGGTCAAAAATCCGAAAACTGATATTTATGCTGAAAGTTAAACCAAAATATTCAATTTTTGCAATAGTGTTTGTCATTTTCTCTCCTTTTTTGTGACTTCGTATTTATGAAGAGTTTGACTGTGAGCAGTCTTTAGGAAGGTAAACATGGCTGATGCCTGGTTATTTTCCCTGACAACGTTTCACTTACATCCTATGGGAAAAGGCCTGACATGCGTAAGATGCCTTCTTCAGCTACCACAGTTACATTATCAAGATCTTGTCATGGATGATAGCTGGAGACACAATCTATATCTTGGTCTACAATGGTGCAGCTAAACAGAAGCAAATATATTCTACAACTGTTACATTTAAGTATCCTGAATTGAATATTCTACAAAGAAATTGCAACAAAAAAAGCTATCAATTAGGAATTCTGATGTAATCCCATTTGGTACAAGTACTTCCACCAACTGATGTTTCCGATGGTTTGCAGTGACTGTGGGCTTTCTCTTTATTAGGTTGGAGACCAGATTATAGAGGTGAATGGCAGAAGTTTTCTCAATATTCCCCACGATGAAGCTGTGAAAATTTTAAAGTCTTCACGACATCTCATGATGACAATAAAAGATGTTGGGAGATTGCCTCACACTCGGACAGTGGTGGATGAGACTAAGTGGATTACAGGCTCAGAGCTCAGTGAGACAGCTGCCTTTAGTGCCTCTGCAGGGTAAGTCCTGCCTTCATTTCCTCAGCTTGGGAAACAAACTTCTAATATCGCCACATGATTAATGTTCCTTATGAAAAATAAATCTTTGGGCATCTAAGTGAGAAATGATCCATTTCACTAGAGCTGTTCACTATGATATTTCTCCTCTGTTTATAAAGTATGATTTAAAGTTAACATTTATATTCCATGGCCTTTTCTTTAATGCTTGCAGCCATTTCAATTTTTTTTTCTTGTTTTTATTATCCATTACACCTCTTCTTTATGGTTTGTTATGTGAAGCCAGAATTTTTTTAAATTGAATATCATCTAATTTTCAATCATTATGTCCATCGATTTTCATTTATCCACCCAATTTTGTGCATTATTTATCCTCACTACTGGAGTTGCCTACACTAGGGATGTCTTAGAGTAGGGTCTGTTGAAGGGATATGAAGGTACCTTCGAAAGCCAAGCATAATTTGTGTGGTGAGAGAAAGAAGCAGCATGTTTGGGGATGATTGGCGGTTGTTGTGTGGGCAGAGCAGGTATAAAGTGTGCATGTACAAGTATCGAGAAGGAGATACAGGGAAATGTGAAGCTCAGTATGACAGGAATTGGGAGGATTGCAAAATCACCGTACAGAAATCATGTTCACTGGAATGTTTTACAGGAGTCTGAAACAACAGAACGTAAAACTTGATGGAGCTTGGAAAATTATTCTGGTCAAACAAACTGACGTCACGATAGATCGATGCTTCAGTAGTGATTACGGTGATATCTCAGTCCTTAGTTAGACAATACTACATTCTCATTCATGTAAGGAATATTGATATAAGTAAATGGAACAATTTCTCATTTCAGATATCTATTAGTGTCAAAAACTTCCATGTGAAGTGTAACACAACAAAGACAAAGTGCCTTCTATGTTGCTTCAACAACATGTTACAGGTTCAACCTCTGAATGAAATTATTAATTTTTTCAGTGAATAACAATGCTGGTTGAATTGAGGCAATGGTGAATCTATGCTTTACGTTGTTCCACTGGTCTCCAACTGGAGTTACAGTGAAAAAGCAGAGAACACATGGTCACTGCATTGAGAAAAGAAGTTTCAACACCAGAACTGATTCAGAAAATAAACCCAGCAAGATGGTTTCAAGTTTTAAACCATTTCATTTTGAAAATAGAATTACAAAGCTTGGGAATTAAAATCAAGGATGAGCATTATCTAAATATTTTAGATAATCAATAAGAATATTATAAAAGGGGATTCAGCATTGAAGAGAATCAGAAGGTGATGTCAAGCTGAGGGGGCCAAATGTTAAATCACGTAAATGCAGCATCTGTTTTTTTTAAATTGTCTAGTTGATATTGTCAATTACTTCAAGAAGAAAGGGAATTGAATTAGTTCTTTATTCATAAATGAAAGAATCTACAATTGAAAAAATTATATCATATTCTTGGGACATTAATGACAAGAGTTACATAAGAGGGCAACAGACCTTTGCATTGTCCTTTTTGCATTAAATCTTATCAGTAACAATCCCCATCTGCCTTCATTTCTTTCAGTCTTCAGCGATCATTGTGAACTATTTCTTCATTAAAGTCTCCAACATCAGGTGCAGTGCCAATAAAATAAAGGGTTCCTTGAAATTTGCAGTATCTGAGTTTTCTGGTTTGGCTTTTGCTGTTATATTTATTCTACATGTGGGAGCCATTTTATGCTTCATAAATGCAGGGATTTCTAAGTTTATTGGTTAATTAAGTAGTTGATGTGGATAGAATGACTGCCATGGTTGTCATTAGGCAAGGGATAGGTTTTGAATGTCAAGAGCACATTTCTTCCTGTTGAACTGATGTCTTTGTATTATGGGAGCTAAGCAGACAAAACTAATAAATTTTAGTTATTTTCTCTCCCGCGTTTGTACGAGCAATTGTTTGGTTCTTTTTTGGAATACTTCTTTATAAATTTTAATGCCCTGATCTCTTTGTAATTATTTCCAGGATTCCCAGTTTAGGTTCAATGTCCAATCAGCTGATGCAGTTTAAATGGCATTGATATCAGTTAAATTTATTTTCAAAAATATGGTTCATGTTATTGTCAAATGAAATGGATTTGAATTTCAGTGTCAGTTAGAAGCGAACCACAGTATTCCCCTTCTTCAAGAGATAACTTTTTTTAAAACGTGGACTTGGTGTGACCACACTGAAATATTTTGAGGGTTACAAAAATAACTTATCAGATAATCACAGCTCCAACATTTTTCCTTATTAATTCAAGGGATTTGAGCTTTGCTGCTTATGACAGATTTTGTTGCACTGGGGAAGTGGTGGTCAGCTGCCTTTTTGAATTGCTGCAGTCTTTGGGCTGTAGGGACTACATGGAATTGTTTGGAAGGGAGTTCTAGGATTTTGATCCAGCAACAGTGAAGGAACAGCAATATAGTTCCAAGTCAGGATGGGGTGCGACTTGGAAGGAAACTTGCGTCCATTTGCCCTTCTCTTTCTAGGTGGTTCATGTCACGGGTTTGGAAGATGCTGTTGAAGAAGATTTTATGAGTTACTTCAGTGCATCAGTGGAAGGAAGTGAATGTTAAAGCTGTTGAATGGGGTGCTACTCAAATTGACTGCATTGTCTGGGATGGTATCAAAGTCTTGAGTGTTCTTGGATCTAGCAAGTGGAGTATATTCCATCACACTCCTGACTTATGCCCAATAGATGATGGATAGTCTTTAGGGAGGCAGAAAGTGAGTTAAATCACCACAGAATTCCTAGCATCTGATCTGCTCTTGTCATCACAGTATTTATATGACTGGTCCAGTTCTATTTCTGGTCAATGGGAATCACAAAGATGTTGATAGTGGGCAATTCAATGATGGTAATGCCCATCGAGCATATGCCATTGTTATGGTAAAGACAACAATAAGGCTATACCACAATATAGAATTGTTGGCCTCCATATTTTTGGTTCAATTTTTAAAGTAGTCATGAAGGCATAAATACTTTAGTGACGCAAGGATGGCACTAATCACATCACTGTACAGAGACAACAAGGTGCAGGGCTGGATGAACACAGCAGGCCAAGCAGCATCTTAGGAGCAGAAAGGCTGACGTTTCGGGCCTAGACCCTTCATCAGAAAAGGGGGAGGGGAAGGGGGTTCTGAAATAAATAGGGAGAGAGTGGGAGGCGAATAGAAGATGAATAGAGGAGAGGATAGGTGGAGAGGAAACAAACAGGTCGAAGAGGCGGGGATGGAGCCAGTAAAGGTGAGTGTAGGTGGGGAGTTAGGGAGGGGATAGGTCAGTCC